AAGTGAAAAAATAAAACAAGTATATAAAACGATATACTGCTCCAGAGCGACTTACAGTAGAGTGCATACATTTTCATAAAATAAATATGTATACACTACCAGACAAAAGTTAGGACACACCTACTCATTCAATGGTTTTTCTTTATTTGTAAAATTTTTACATTGTGGAATAATAGTGAAGACATCAAAACTATGAAATAACACATATGGAATCATGTAGTAACCAAATAAGTTACTACATGATTCTTCAAATAGCCACCCTTTGCCTTGATGCCTCCTGAATGCCTCTTGGCATTCTCTCAACCAGCTTCATGAGGTAGTCACCTGGAATGCATTTCAATTAACAGGAGTGCATTCTTAAAAGTTAATTTGTGGAATTTATTTCCTTCTTAATGTCTTTGAGCCAATTAGTTGTGTTGTGACAAGGAAGGAGGGTATACAGAAGATAGCCCTATTTAGTAAAATACCAAGTCCATATTATGGCAAGAACAGCTCAAATAAGCAAAGAGAAACGACAGTCCATCATTACTTTAAGACATTAAGGTCAGTCAATACTGAACATTTCTTCAAGTGCAGCCGCAAAAACCATCAAGCACAATTATGAAACTGGCTCTCATGAGGACCGCCACAGGAATGGAAGACCCAGAGTTACCTCTGCTGCAGAGGATAAGTTAATTAGAGTTACCAGCCTCAGAAATTGCAGCCCAAATAAATGCTTCACAGAGTTCAAGTAACAAACACATCTCAACATCAACTGTTCAGAGGGGACTGTGTGAATCAGGCCTTCTTGGTCAAATTGCTGCAAAGGATCCACTACTAAAGGGCACCAAAAAGAAGAAGAGACCTGCTTGGGCCAAGAAACACGAGCAATGGACATTAGACTGGTGGAAATGTGTCCTTTGGTCTGGAGTCCAAATTTGAGATTTTTGGTTCAAACGGTTGTGTCTTTGTGAGACGCTGTGTGGGTGAACGGATGATCTCTGCATGTGTAGTTCCCACCGTAAAGCATGGAGGAGGAGGTGTTTTGGTGTGGGGGTGCTTTGCTGGTGACACTGTCTGTGATTTATTTAGAATTCAAGGCACACTTAACCAGCATGACTACCAACGCATTCTGCAGCGATATGCCATCCCATCTGGTTTGGGCTTAGTGGGACTATCATTTGTTTTTCAACAGGACAATGACCCAACACACCTCCAGGCTGTGTAAGGGCTATTTTACCAAGAAGGAGAGTGATGGAGTGCTGCATCAGATGACTTGGCCTCCACAATCACCAGACCTCAACCCAATTGAGATCGTTTGGGATGAGTCGGACGGCAGAGTGAAGGAAAAGCAGCCAACAAGTGCTCAGCATATGTGGGAACTCCTTCAAGACTGTTGGAAAAGCATTACAGGTGAAGCTGGTTGAGAGAATGCCAAGAGTGTGCAAAGCTGTCATCAAGGCAAAGGGTGGATATTTGAAGAATCATGTAGTAATGTTTTTGGTTACTACATGATTCCATATGTGTTATTTCATAGTTTTGATGTCTTCACTATTACTCTACAATGTAAAAAATAGTAAAAATAAAGAAAAACCCTTGAATTAGTAAGTGTGTCCAAACTTTTGACTGGTACTCTATATATATATTTTTTTGTTGTTGTTGTACTGGTCCCCTGTGGGAATCGAACCCACAATCCTGGCGTTGCAAGTGCCATGCTCTACCAACTGAGCCACACGGGACCACCCAGATGATACAGCATGGCGCTTGCAACCAAGGAACCAAGGAAGTGTGTTCTATGAATCACCTGTCTCTCTGTTTGACTGAAGTCTGAGGGGTTGTGTAGAGCTGCTATTACATCAGTCCCTCCAGGATTCTGTGATTCTGTAATCACATTTGTTTTTGCATATTACGCGAGCCCTTGCAAAATTGACCAATCACCGCACTAGTACCACATAAAACAGTCAAATCACTGCACTCCAAAAAGAGGGCTCGCAATTTTAACCAATTACCACACTTTTACCACATAGAATGGTTCAATCAAGCCACACGCAACAAACGTTTTTCCCCGCCAGCACATTTTCATGACAAATTGGACAAAAATCATGGATGAAGAAACAGATTACAATAAACAGAGTAGGCTAGTTCTGCCTGTTGCTGTAAACCAGTTCATAGGACACAGCTTACAGTACGTCATTTCATCCCTGTTACTGTAAACCAGTTCATAGGACACAGTTTACAGAACGGGACCGCCGAGTGCCGAAGCGCTTAGAAATTGTCTGTCCTCGGTTGCAACACTCACTACCGAGTTCCAAACTGCCTCTGGAAGCAATGCCAGCAGAAGAACTGTTCGTCTGGAGCTTCATGAAATGGGTTTCCATGGCCGAGCAGCCGCACACAAGCTTAAGATCACCATTCGCAATGCCAAGCGTCGGCTGGAGTGGTGTAAAGCTCGCCTCCGCTGGACTCTGGAGCAGTGGAAACGCGTTCTCTGGAGGGATGAATCACGCTTCACCATCAGGCAGTCCGACGGACGGAAATCTTAACGCTACAACATACAATGATATTCTAGACGATTCTGTGCTTCCAACTTTGTGGTAACAGTTTGGGGAAGGCCCTTTTCTGTTTCAGCATGACAATGCCCCGTGCACAAAGCGAGGTCCATACAGAAATGGTTTGTCGAGATTGGTGTGGAAGAACTTGATTGATCTGTACAGAGCCCTGACCTCAACCCCATCGAACACCTTTGGGATGAATTGGAATGCTGACTGCGAGCCAGGCCTAATCGCCCGACCTCACTAATGCTCTTGTGGCTGAATGGAAGCAAGTCCCCGCAGCAATGTTCCAACATCTAGTGGAAAGCCTTCCCATATTAATGGCCATGCTTTTGGAATGAGATGTTTGACGAGCAGGTGTCCACATAATGTTGGTCATGTATATGTCGTTGGTCGTGTGATATGAACGGGAAACAAAAACACATGTATTTCCTCACTGTTTGAAATTCACATGCTTGCTTCCACTGTATCACATGGAGGTATACGAGACAAATAAAATTGAACATTTTTCTTCTTCTATTTTGTAAAAGTTTGAAATCCACATCAATAGAACTGAGTAGTTCTATGTGGTTAACTGGTCGGTAGCTGAGTATTCTAAGGTTCCATTCGGAGGTGCCAAGAAGTGCTGCAGACTGCAGAAGGAGTCTGAGTCTATTTGCAGAAGCACCAAGGGCACTAGGGCTGTTTAGATAGTGACCTAGTTTAGATATATTCATGAGTTTCTCAAACCTCTAACACAACTTATTTATTTCGATTCTACCTAGGTGAGGAAGCACATTACTATCTAATATAATAATAATCCCACGGGGGGACCAGTATGAAAAATGTATGCACTCACTAATTGTAAGTCGCTCTGGATAAGAGCGTCTGCTAAATGACTAAAATGTCAATTGGATCACTAATATCATCGTACTTGTAATATGGAGGTGGCGTTGTTTGGCGTATTTGTTTTGTTTTAACAGTATTACGTTATTAATGAATTGATTTGCAGAACAAGTTGGCCTAATAGCTTATTTGTGCATTCTTTATTTTTGATTAAATCAGAGGGTGCTGCATGTGCTGGTGTTTATGACACTGGTGTTATGACATTATGACACTGGTGTTTTGAGATTATGACACCGGTGTTTTGACATTATGACACCGTGGTCCTCTGTAGCTCAGCTGGTAGAGCACGGTGCTTGTAACGCCAAGGTAGTGGGTTCGATCCCCGGGACCACCCATACACAAAAAAAAAATTATGCACGCATGACTAAGTCGCTTTGGATAAAAGCGTCTGCTAAATGGCATATTATTATTATTATTATTATTATGAAATTATGATACTGGTGATATGACATGACATTGGTGTTATGCCATTTTGACACTGGTGTTATGCCATTATGACACTGGTGTTATGCCATTATGACACTGGTGTTATGCCATTATGACACTGGTGTTATGCCATTAAGACACTGGTGTTATGACATTATGACACTGGTGTTATGACATTATGACACTGGTGTTATGACACTGGTGTTATGACATTGGTGTAATAAAATAACCCAGTAATTTTTGACAAAGCTGTGCTGACCCAACTGGTATATGACTGCAATCTTATGGTTTACCTACTGTTATGATATGGCAGGGTAGTTTAGTGTTAGCACACAGTTCAGCAACACACTCTACCAGGATACACTTCCACACTCCATCCCCCAGGTGTCAGCACCAACCAAGTCAAGGGCTGTGCTCTGCCAGGAGACCTTGATAAGCACGTCATCAGGTGACGGTCAGTCAGTGTCCCAGCTGGCAAGCCGAGAGGCTGCTGGTTTTGTTTGGTGACCATGAGGCCATGAGGTTGAGTTTTGAATTTTTAGTTCAGACATGCCTCTGTTGTTTCCCTTTGTGTACGTGTTAATTTTGGTCACCTTTTGAACAAATCAACTCATCTGCTTGGAATGGCCGATCAAGAGGTCACGACAGAGTTGACCCTGGACCAAGGTAAGGTTGCTGTCCCCTGGGTACATGCATTCAACACCTGGTTGCATACGCTTACTTGTCACATTAATGCACACCTCCAATCAGGTTACAGAACCATTATGAAGCCCTAGACTTAGCGAGTACAGTTTGAACAACAGGCCGTCTAGTTGCTTCCGTAACACTATCAACCCAAAATACCCTGCATTTATCAGCGTTGCACTATACGGTGACACTGGTGACAGTGGTGTGGTAAACGTGGAACCATAACATCACATACGATCACATGCAGGCTGTGCTGAACCAACTGTAACAGTAGTTCAATTATGTGATCTCCATACCTGTTCGTTGTTCAGCCTCGACTGGTTTCACACTGTACGGTGACACTGGTGTTATGTCATTGGTGTTATGTCATTGGTGTTATAAAAATAACCAGGTTATGGTTGTGTGATCTTATGACAGATCTTACGGTTGACCTGACCACATAGGATCACATAGGCTGTACTGACCCAACTGTTATACGACTGTGGTCTTACGATTGACCTCCATACCTGTTGGTTGTTCACTGTACGGTGACACTGGTGACGTGGTGAGCAGAGAGCCCCATGGGGTTTGTGTTATAGAAGGCTCCCAGGGCACAGAGGACATGTCCCCCTCGGCTGGCTGACAGCTGACCTTGTTGATACCATCAACACAGGAGTATCCTCCCGGACACGGCTGGAGCAGGCAGTCATCGTAATTGTGCTCACAGTTCTTCCCCTGTACATGTCAAACAGAGATAGACGTTAGACTACAGAAACAGAAAGATAGATAAACATTAAAAGACCATAGAAATAGTCAAATTAGATTAGACCACAGCTATATAATCTAATCTAACAGAAATATTATTTTATTTTCTTAGCCATTCCCTTAGATTTATGAGTATAATTCCGTCTATGATGTGAGGTCATGGACAAAAGTAGTGCACTACATAGGGAATAGGGTGCCATTTGAAACACACACATGGGCTTTAAAAAAAAATATATTATTTACAATGATGGCCTACCCCGGCCAAACCCGGACGACGCTGGGCCAATTGTGCGCCGCCCTATGTGACTCCCAATCACCGGTCGGATTGTGATACAGCCTGGAATCGAATCAGGGGTCTGTAGAGACACCTCTAGCACTGAGATGCTTGGTAAGGAAGACAGGATTCGAGCCACCTTAATAAGGATGTCAATTATGTGTATCAGCAGGAGAAATGATCTCAAACGCCTGCAGCTGACATCTACGGTGGTGGGATACTGAACTAAATAACCTCTCTCTGAATACGGCCCAATTGGCACCCTATGCTAATTGGCACCGTGTGTAGTGCACTTCTGTTGACTAGGGCCCATAGGGCTCTGGTCAAGAGTAGTGTACTGTATAGGGAATAGGGTGCCATATGGAACTCAACCTCTGCCTTATCCTGTCCATGACTAGGAGGGTAAATATTCAGCCTCTGCCTATTTCTGTCCATGATTACGAGGGTAAATATTCAGCCTCTGCCTTATCCTGTCCATGACTAGGAGGGTAAATATTCAGCCTCTGCTTATCTGTCCATGACTAGGAGGGTAATATTCAGCCTCTGCCTTATCCTGTCCATGATAGGAGGGGTAAATATTACAGCCTCTGCCTTATCCTGTCCATGACTAGGAGGGTAAATATTCAGCCTCTTGCCTTATCCTGTCCATGACTAGGAGGGTCAATATTCAGCCTCTGCCTTATCCTGTCCATGACTAGGAGGGTCAATATTCAGCCTCTGGCCTTATCCTGTCCATGACTAGGAGGGTAAATATTCAGCCTCTGCCTTATCCTGTCCATGACTAGGAGGGAAATATTCAGCCTCTGCCTTATCCTGTCCATGACTAGAGGGTAAATATTCAGCCTTGCCTTATCCTGTCCATGACTAGGAGGGTAAATATTCAGCCTCTGCCTTATCCTGTCCATGATAGGAGGGTAAATATTCAGCCTCTGCCTTATCCTGTCCATGACTAGGAGGGTAAATATTCAGCCTCTGCCTTATCCTGTCCATGACTAGAGGGTAAATATTCAGCCTCTGCCTTATTCTGTCCATGATTAGGAGGGTAAATATTCAGCCTCTGCCTTATCACTTCCCATGACTAGGAGGGTAAATATTCAGCTCTGCCTTATCCTGTCCATGACAAGGAGGGTAAATATTCATGTCCTTATCCTGTCCATGACTAGGAGGGTAAATATTCAGTCTTATCCTGTCCATGACAGGAGGGTAAATATCAGCCTCTGCCTTATCCTGTCCATGACATAGGAGGGAAATATGTCAGTCCTGCCTAACTGTCCATGACTAAGGAGGGTAAATATTCAGCACCTGTCCTGACTAGGAGGTATATTTCTTCATCCTGTCCATGACTAGGAGGGTAAATATTCAGTCTCCTCATCCTGTCCATGACTAGGGGGTAAATATTCAGCCTGCATATCCTGTCCATGACTAGGAGGGTAAATATTCAGTCTTAGGTCTGTCATGCATCCTGTCAGGACTAGGAGGGTAAATATTCGATTGCCTTATCCTGTCCATGACATAGGAGGGTAAAATATTCAGCCATCGGCCTGATCCTGTCCATGACTAGTAGGGTAAATATTCCAGCCTTCGCCTTATTCCTGCCCATGCTTAGGAGGGTTAAATATTACAGACCTCTGCCTTACTCCTGTCCAATGATTAGGAGGGGTAAATATTCAGCCTTGCCTATCCTCGTCCATGACTAGGAGGGTAAATATTCAGTCTTATCCTGTCCAGTACTAGAGGGTAAATATTCAGTCTTATCCTGTCCATGACTAGGAGGATAAATATAACACCATCACATTCTGGGAGGAGAAAGAAAGAAGAAGAAGAACATATTGAAAGAAATGCTAAACATTACAGATGTGGAGAACAGCAGAGACAGAGAAAGAGAGAGAGAGAGGATGAGAGAGAGAGAGAGAGACCGAGGGGAAGAAGGGGGAGAGAGAGCTCCACACAGACACAGAGAAAGAGGGGGAGGCAACAGGGATGAAGGAGAATAGAGGCAAGGATAAAAATAAGGGAAGAGTGCGCTGGGTAAGCCTCACCACAAATCCAGGGCGACAGAAGCAGGTGTAGCCGTAGCCAGGCTGGTTCTGGATGCACATCCCCTGGTTGCAGGGCTGGGGAAGGCACTCATTAATGTCCAACTCACAGTGAAGGCCTGTCCAACCTGCCAGGGAACAAAGCCCACAGAATGAGCACTGCAGTGTGGAGGGAGGTGTGTGTGTGCATAGTGTGGTGAGACCTAGCTTCACCCACATCCACCACCCTCTTAAGTGAATATCAATCAGATTCCTTTGATTTGCTGCTTTGCTTCTTTTTTGGGGCACACACACACACACACACACAACAAAAGGTTCATGGAGAGAAATGGTGTTAAGTGTCACATACAGTTTGATGGGGCTATAGGCTAGGGGTTTACATGTTTTTTTTGTTTTTTTGTTTTTTATTTCACCTTTATTTAACCAGGTAAGCCAGTTGAGAACAAGTTCTCATTTACAACTGCGACCTGGCCAAGATAAAGCAAAGCAGTGCAATAAAAACAACAACACAGAGTTACATATGGGGTAAAACAAAACATAAAGTCAAAAAATACAACAGAAAATATATATACAGTGTGTGCAAATGTAGCAAGTTATGGAGGTAAGGCAATAAATAGGCCATAGTGCAAAATAGTCACAATTTCGTATTAACACTGGAATGATAGATGTGCAGAAGATGATGTGCAAATAGAGATACTGGGGTGCAAATGAGCAAAATAAATAACAATGTAAATAACAATATGGGGATGAGGTAGTTGGGTGGGCTAATTACAGATGGGCTGTGTACAGGTACAGTGATCGGTAAGCTGCTCTGACAACTGATGCTTAAAGTTAGTGAGGGAGATAAGTGTCTCCAGCTTCAGAGATTTTTGCAGTTCATTCCAGTCATTTGCAGCAGAGAACTGGAAGGAATGGCGGCCAAAGGAGGTGTTGGCTTTGGGGATGACCAGTGAGATATACCTGCTTGAACGCATACTAGAGGTGGGTGTTGCTATGGTAACCAATGAGCTAAGATAAGGCGGGGATTTGCCTAGAAGAGATCTATAGATGACCTGAGGCTATAGGCTAGGTGTTTTGATGAGGCTATAGGCTAGGTGTTTTGATGAGGCTATAGGCTAGGTGTTTTGATGAGGCTATAGGCTAGGTGTTTTAATGAGGCTATAGGCTAGGTGTTTTAATGAGGCTATAGGCTAGGTGTTTTAATGAGGCTATAGGCTAGGTGTTTTAATGAGGCTATAGGCTAGGTGTTTTAATGAGGCTATAGGCTAGGTGTTTTAATGAGGCTATAGGCTAGGTGTTTTAATGAGGCTATAGCTAGGTGTTTTATGAGGCTATAGGCTAGGTGCTTTATGAGGCTATAGGCTAGTGTTTGATGAGGCTATAGGCTAGGTGTTTTAATGAGGCTATAGGCTAGGTGTTTTGATGAGGCTATAGGCTAGGTGTTTTAAAGAGGCTATAGGCTAGGTGTTTTGTTAGACATGTGACAACCCAGTGATCCTGAATGTGGCCTCCTTCAATCGACCAAAGTCACAATACATGTACTACCATGTCCCAGACCTCTTTGTGCTGTTTTGCGAACTCCTATGGTTGTTGTCGTGCCAAAGAAAGCTGTGTTGACTAATATACTACTTGGACTGTCTCTATGTCCCCATTCTAGAATAAGTGTCAAGTCCTCCTCTTGTTCACCATCCAAAGGACACAGGGACAACTCAAATTTCCGACTCAATCTTTTTTATTTTTAGTTTGCTTTCAGTTGATTGGTCTGTCCAGTAAATTAGCCAGTAAATTAGGTTGTAAACCTTTAAAGACAGAACAAAAAGTTACCATTTTAATTAAACATTTTAAATGAACTTAAATTAGTTTAAACATTCTAAATAACTTCAATGAATTAACCATTTACCCTTTGCGTCTTTGGACTGAACCTGTGAGTGAACTTGGAGTCTTCTCTCTGAAGTTTGTTCTTCAGAATGACTGAGCCCCTCCATGCCTTCACAGGTGCTCCAAATCAGTGAAAATGACTGATCAGGTGACAAGCAGCCGGGTTTGCTGCTGCTGGTGCCCTCTGGGAAGTGTAGTTCTTTGACTCACTCCTGAGATTCAGCTCAACAATAAGAGTCTAAGTGTTGTTCTAGAATAAGAGCCTAAATGTTGTTCTTCAATTGAAATGGAATCATAGATTTAAGGAGCCTTACTTGGCTCCAGTCTCAGTGTGTCATCTATAGTTTATAATCATAGATTTAAGGAGCCTTACTTGGCTCCAGTCTCAGTGTGTCATCTATAGTTTATAATCATAGATTTAAGGAGCCTTACTTGGCTCCAGTCTCAGTGTGTCATCTATAGTTTATAATCATAGATTTAAGGAGCCTTACTTGGCTCCAGTCTCAGTGCGTAATCTATAGTTTATAATCATAGATTTAAGGAGCCTTACTTGGCTCCAGTCTCAGTGTGTCATCTATAGTTTATAATCATAGATTTAAGGAACCTTACTTGGCTCCAGTCTCAGTGTGTCATCTATAGTTTGGAAGGACATCAGCTCAGTAGCTGTTGGTATTGTCTTATAGGGCAGTTGATTCAATAGTAGATGTTGGTATTGTCTTATAGGGCAGTTGATTCAATAGTAGCTGTTGGTATTGTCTTGTAGGACAGTTGATTCAATAGTAGATGTTGGCATTGTATTCTAGGGCAGTTGATTCAATAGTAGATGTTGGTATTGTATTCTAGGACAGTTGATTCAATAGTAGATGTTGGTATTGTCTTATAGGACAGTTGACTCAATAGTAGCTGTTGGTATTGTCTTATATGACAGTTGACTCAATAGTAGATGTTGGTATTGTCTTATAGGACAGTTGACTCAATAGTAGCTGTTGGTATTGTCTTGTAAGGCAATTACATTTAAGTGCTGTGTTTTACATAGTAGCCTACTTAATCATTGCTGTTTGAACTGTCTGATTGCTCAGTATTTGTGACCGTCTATGTGGATTTAGATTAGTTTCAGGTCTATTTGTGTAACAGTCCTGCTAATTTGTGGGAGGGTTGTCTTGAAGGGGGGGGGGGGGGGGTTTCTTCACCCCTGCCAGGCAATCACCAATCAGTGCTTAGAGGTGTGTCTTTCACCTCTGCTACGCAATTAGTGCTAGTACTTCAGTCTCCCCTGTTTTTTCAGTGGCAGCTGTTGTAGGCTCGGCCCTAATTTATGTGCTCTCTGACGCCTGGAGTTGGAAGACAGAGGACAACGCCAAAGGACCAGTCAGCCCTTCCCCTCTGAGGGGCCAAAATGTTTCTCTCCGTTACAGTATTCAGAGGACTGACTACCGAATGTGATAGAATAATGCTATAGCATCCATGTTTGGTATCTATCTGAAACTTGTTCACTGAGGACAACTCTGGTGCTATCTATATGGATGTATGATCTCTGCGGTTACTTGTATCTGTATAGGGGTGAACTCTGAATTACTATGTGCAAAAATGTTTTATGGTCCTCTCAGGAATTCTGTCATATTTACATTGGTGTCATCCCCCACACAAGCTCTTAGATGCTGTGACACCCTGTGGAGATTGGGCCTTGGTGGTCAGGTTACACTGTGAACTTGGTATCGTTTGATTGGTCAAAGGTGGCTGGTTTTGGGTTGAAAGGTTACACATTCAGATGTTATAAATGGAATTAAATGCCTTTGTTCTGTCTCTTATCCTGTATCCAGTCCACGGAGGAAGGTTGTATGATCAATTCTAATTTCTTAGGCTTCTAGGCCTCTGGTCTAGTAAGCATCTCTGTGTTCATGATTTGTCATGTAAGTTAACCTTAGGATCTATATGCTTGGAATAATGCCTTGTTAATGCTTGTTAATGCTTGTAACTTAAGTGTTATGTCTTGTATGTGAATCCATTCATTGTACAATGTTAATTCAATATCTGCCTTTGATATACACCATTCTCAGACCAATTCTTGCTAGTCTATATCAACTCATTGCCTAATGCTCGCGTGTATATTTTAATTATCTTCTGGAGTCAGATAAACATTTCAATAGGCTAATTGCTTAGTCTTATTACGAGTCACATGAGGTATTTATAATATTATATACACTGTATATACACATATTACTGCCCACTACACTGTAAGCGGTGGTACTGTCAAGCGGCGGTGTTGTCACCAAAACAAAGAACTGAGCCCTGGTGGACACCAGTAGTGAGAGCGCGTGGTGCAGACACAGATCTGAGCCCTGGTGGACACCAGTAGTGAGAGCGCGTGGTGCAGACACAGATCTGATCCCTGGTGGACACCAGTAGTGAGAGCGCGTGGTGCAGACACAGATCTGATCCCTGGTGGACACCAGTAGTGAGAGCGTGTGGTGCAGACAGAGTTCTGAGCCCTGGTGGACACCAGTAGTGAGAGCGTGTGGTGCAGACAGAGTTCTGAGCCCTGGTGGACACCAGTAGTGAGAGCTCGTGGTGCAGACACAGATCTGAGCCCTGGTGGACACCAGTAGTGAGAGCTCGTGGTGCAGACACAGATCTGAGCCCTGGTGGACACCAGTAGTGAGAGCACGTGGTGCAGACACAGATCTGAGCCCTGGTGGACACCAGTAGTGAGAGCACGTGGTGCAGACACAGATCCGTCTGCTATATGACTAAAGTGTAAAAATGTCAAATGAATGCTATAACTGCAAGCAAAATACAAGTAGTGATTCATCCACACCTGAAGAGATGCTGTGTTAGCTTTTCACCATAAATCATTGAAGTGGTAAGAAAAGCATTTAGAATCTATTGCAACATGTTTTTAAAGATATCTAGGCCTGTTATCTGAATTTACTCTGAGATGAAAAACAGATTGATTTGCTTTGAATCCTAACAAAATTATTGATAATGTCAATCATCATTGTACATCATCAGAATTCTGCAACACATACAGTGCCTTGCAAAAGTATTCATCCCCCTTCGCGTTTCTCCTATTTTGTTGCATTACAACCTGTAATTTAAATTGATTTTTATTTGGATTTCATGTAATGGAAATACACAAAATAGTCCAAATTGGTGATGTGAAATGAAAAAAATAACTTGTTTAAAAATAAAAATAAATAACGGAAATGTGGTGCGTGCATATGTATTCACCCCCTTTGCTATGAAGCCCCTAAATAAGATCTGGTGCAACCAATTACCTACAGAAGTCACATAATTATTTAAATGAAGTCCACCTGTGTGCAATCTAAGTGTCACATGATCTGTCACATGATCTCAGTATATATACACCTGTTCTGAAAGGCCCCAGAGTCTGCAACACCACTAAGCAAGGGGCACCATCAAGCAAGCGGCACCATGAAGACCAGGTCAGGGACAAAGTTGTGGAGAAGTACAGATCAGGGTTGGGTTATAATAACAATATCCACAATTTTGAACATCCCACGGAGCACCATTAAATCCATTATTAAAACATGGAAAGAATATGGCACCACAACAAACCTGCCAAGAGAGGGCCACCCACCAAAACCCACAGACCAGGCAAGGAGGGCATTAATCAGAGAGGCAACAACGAGACCAAAGATAACCCTGAAGGAGCTGCAAAGCTCCACAGCGGAGATTGGAGTATCTGTCGATAGGACCACTTTAAGCCGTACACTCCACAAAGCTGGGCTTTACGGAAGAGTGGCCAGAAAAAAAGCCATTGCTTAAAGAAAAAAATAAGCAAACACGTTTGGTGTTCGCCAAAAGGCTTGTGGGAGACTCCCCAAACATATGGAAGAAGGTACTCTGGTCAGATGAGACTGAAATTGAGCTTTTTGGCCATCGAGGAAAACGCTATGTCTGGCGCAAACCCAACACCTCTCATCACCCCGAGAACACCATCTCCACAATGAAGCATGGTGGTGGCAGCATCATGCTGTGAGGATTTTTTCTTCGGCAGGGACTGGCAAACTGGTCAGAATTGAAGGAATGATAGATGGTGCTAAATACAGGGAAATTCTTGAGGGAAACCTGTTTCACTCTTCCAGAGATTTGAGACCGGGACGGAGGTTCACCTTCCAGCAGGACAATGACCCTAAGCATACTGCTAAAGCAACACTCGAGTGGTTTAAGGGGAGACATTTAAATGTCTTGGAATGGCCTAGTCAAAGCCCAGACCTCAATCCAATTGAGAATCTGTGGTATGACTTAAAGATTGCTGTATACCAGCGGAACCCATCCAACTTGAAGGAGCTGGAGCAGTTTTTCCTTGAAGAATGGGCAAAAATCCCAGTGGCTAGATGTGCCAAGCTTATAGACACATACCCCAAGAGACTTGCAGCTGTAATTGCTGCAAAAGGTGGCTTTACAAAGTATTGACTTTGGGGTGGCGGGGGGGGGGGGGGGGGGGGGGGGGGGGGGGGGGGGTGAATAGTTATGCACTATCAAGTTTTCTGTTTGTTTGTCTTATTTCTTGTTTGTTTCACAAAAAAAAATATTTTCCATCTTCAAAGTGGTAGGCATGTTGTGTAAATCAAATGATACAAACCCCCCCAAAATCAATTTTAATTCCAGGTTGTAAGTCAACAAAACAGGAAAAATGCCAAGGGGGGTGAATACTTTCACAAGCCACTGTAGGCCTGCTAGAAAAGCGATAAAGCAGAACTGTGTCCATGTCCAGTGACTTACTGGATATGCGCTGGACTACAAATAGTTGTATAACTGTAACAGTGACTTACCTGCCCTGCAGTTAGAGGTTGCGTTAACCAGGTATATACAGTACCAGTTAAAAGTTTGGACACACCTACTTATTCAAGGGTTTGTCTTTATTTTTACTATTTACTACATCGTAGAATAATAATAAAGACATCAAAACTATGAAATAACACATACAGTGGGGAGAACAAGTATTTGATACACTGCCGACTTTGCAGGTTTTCCTACTTACAAAGCAAGTAGAGGTCTGTAAAATCCAGAAAATCACATTGTATGATTTTTAAGTAATGAATTTGCATTTTATTGCATGACATAAGTATTTGATACATCAGAAAAGCAGAACTTAATATTTGGTACAGAAACCTTTGATTGCAATTACAGAGATCATACGTTTCCTGTAGGTCTAGACCAGGTTTGCACACAGTGGAGCAGGGATTTTGGCCCACTCCTCCACACAGACCTTCTCCAGATCCTTCAGGTTTCGGGGCTGTCGCTGGGCAATACGGACTTTCAGCTCCCTCCAAAGATTTTCTATTGGGTTCAGGTCTGGAGACTGGCTAGGCCACTCCAGGACCTTGAGATGCTTCTTACGGAGCCACTCCTTACTTGCCCTGGCTGTGTGTTTCGGGTCGTTGTCATGCTGGAAGACCCAGCCACGACCCATCTTCAATGCTCTTACTGCGGCTACGAAACCCCTACCTGTCCCAGACCTGCTGTTTTCAACTCTTAATGATCGGCTATGAAAAGCCAACTGAGAGACCTGAGCCCTAGGACCATACGTCGGGACTACCGGCCGTGGTGACTCCTTGCTGTCCCCAGTCCGCCTGGCCTTGCTGCTATTCCAGTTTAAACTGTTCTGCCTGCGGTTATGGAACCCCTACCTGTCCCAGACCTGCTGTTTTCAAACTCTTAATGATCGGCTATGAAAAGCCAACTGAGATTTATTCCTGATTATTATTTGACCATGCTTGTCACTTATGAACATTTTTGAACATCTTGGCATGGTTCTGTTATAATCTCCACCCGGCACAGCCAGAAGAGGACTGGCCACCCCTCATAGCCTGGTTCCTCTCTAGGTTTCTTCCTAGGTTTTCGCCTTTCTAGGGAGTTTTTCCTAGCCACCGTGCTTCTACACCTGCATTACTAGCTGTTTGGGGTTTTAGGCTGGGTTTCTGTACAGCACTTCGAGATATTAGCTGATGTAAGAAGGGCTATATAAAATAAAATTGATTGAAATTGATTGATTACTGAGGGAAGGAGGTTGTTGGCCAAGATCTCGCGATACATGGCCCCATCCATCCTCCCCTCAATACGGTGCAGTCGTCCTGTCCCCTTTGCAGAAAAGCATCCCCAAAGAATGATGTTTCCACCTCCATGCTTCACGGTTGGGATGGTGTTCTTGGGGTTGTACTCATCCTTCTTCTTCCTCCAAACACGGCGAGTGGAGTTTAGACCAAAAAGCTATATTTTTGTCTCATCAGACCACATGACCTTCTCCCATTCCTCCTCTGGATCATCTAGATGGTCATTGGCAAACTTCAGATGGGCCTGGACATGCGCTAGGTTGAGCAGGGGGACCTTGCGTGCGCTGCAGGATTTTAATCCAGGACGGCGTAGTGTGTTACTAATGGTTTTCTTTGAGACTGTGGTCCCAGCTCTCTTCAGGTCATTGACCAGGTCCTGCCGTGTAGTTCTGGGCTGATCCCTCACCTTCCTCATGATCATTGATGCCCCACGAGGTGAGATCTTGCATGGAGCCCCAGACCGAGGGTTGATTGACCATCATCTTGAACTTCTTCCATGTTCTAATAATTGCACTAACAGTTGTTGCCTTCTCACCAAGCTGCTTGCCTATTGTCCTGTAGCCCATCCCAGCCTTGTGCAGGTCTACAATTTTATCCCTGATGTCCTTACACAGCTCTCTGGTCTTGGCCATTGTGGAGAGGTTGGAGTCTGTTTGATTGAGTGTGTGGACAGGTGTCTTTTATACAGGTAACGAGTTCAAACAGGTGCAGTTAATACAGGTAATGAGTGGAGAACAGGAGGGCTTCTTAAAGAAAAACTAACAGGTCTGTGAGAGACGGAATTCTTACTGGTTGGTAGGTGATCAAATACTTATGTCATGCAATAAAATGCAAATTAATTACTTAAAAATCATACAATGTGATTTTCTGGATTTTTGTTTTAGATTCCGTCTCTCACAGTTTAAGTGTACCTATGATAAAAACTACAGACCTCTACATGCTTTGTAAGTAGGAAAACCTGCAAAATCGGCAGTGTATCAAATACTTGTTCTCCCCACTGTATGGAATAATTTGGTAACCAAAAAAAGTGTTAAATAAATCAAAATAGATTTTAGATTCTTCAAAGTAGCCACGCTTTGCCTTGATGACAGCTTTGCACACTCTTGGCATTCTCTCAACCAGCTTCATGAGGTAGTCACCTGGAATGCTTTTCCAACAGTCTTGAAGGAGTTCCCACATATGCTGAGCACTTGTTGGCTGCTTTTCCTTCACTCTGCGGTCCAACTCATCCCAAACCATCTCAACTGAGTTGAGGTCGGTGATAGTTGATGCCAGATCATCTGATGCAGTACTCCATCAGTCTCCTTCTTGGTCAAATAGCCCTTGTTTAACACTTTTTTGGTTACTACATGATTCCATGTAGTGTTATTTCATAGTTTTGATGTCTTCACTATTTTTCTACAATGTAGAAAATAGTACAAAATTAAGAAAAACCCTTGGATTAGTTGGTGTGTCCAAACTTTTGACTGGTACTGTATTTCATATAACATTAATATATACACTGAGTGTACAAAACATTAGGAACACCTTCCTACTATTGAGATTCACCTCCCATCTTAGTTGATGTCCAGTGACTTACCTGCCCTGAAGTGGCAGATGTAGCCATGAACCAGGTCATATAACGCATTATAAACTGGGTAGTTAGAGCCCTGAATGCTGATTGGCTGAAAGCTGTGGTATATCAGACAATATGCCATGGATATGAAGCAAAATGACTTTTTATAATAGCAACAAGGCACCTGGGGGGTTTGTGGTATATGGCCGATATACCACGGCTAAGGGCTGTATCCAGGCACTCCACGTTGCGTCGCGCTTAAGAAAAGCTCTTAGCCGTGGTAGATTGGCCATATACCAAACCTCCTCTTGCCTTATTGCTTCATTATAACAGCCTCGTAATGCATTATAACTGTTACCAATCTTAGTTAATGTACTCACCTGCCCTGCAGTGGCAGACGTATCCGTTAAGCAGGTCTTGGCAGATAGCCCCGTGGAGACATGGATCTGAACAGCATTCATTAACGTCCATCTCACAGAAGTCCCCTATGAAACCTGCTGGACAACTGGGAGAAGACAAGGATATTTTATAGATGTCATTTAACATATATAACATAACATATTTAACATATATAACATATTTAACATATATAGTCACACATACATATACAGTACACATATACATTTACTTTATATACTTTTTTTTTTACCAAAGTAAAATAAAGATTCAATGTTTGTTTTACTGTAAGAAAGTTGTGTCCATCTTTTTCTAAAATAACATCTTAAACAGTATTATACAGTCTTCAGTAGAAGAAACAGAATGAGTCACGTGTCCGTGGATGTGGCTTGCTATATAAAGCAGGCAGACGGGCATCAAGGCATTCAGTTACTGTTCTATTGAACGTTAGAATGGGCCAAATGAGTGATCCTAAGCTACTTTGAGCGTGGTCTGGTGGTATGATCCTAAGCTACTTTGAGCGTGGTATGGTGGTATGATCCTAAGCTACTTTGAGCGTGGTATGGTGGTATGATCCTAAGCTACTTTGAGCGTGGTCTGGTGGTATGATCCTAAGCTACTTTGAGATGTATGGTGGTATGATCCTAAGCTACTTGAGCGTGGTATGATCCTAAGCTACTTTGAGCGTGTTGGTGGTATGATCCTAAGCTACTTTGAGCGTGGTATGGTGGTATGATCCTAAGCTACTTTGAGCGTGGTATGGTGGTATGATCCTAAGCTACTTTGAGAGTGGTATGGTGGTATGATCCTAAGCTACTTTGAGCGTGGTATGGTGGTATGATCCTAAGCTACTTTGAGAGTGGTATGGTGGTATGATCCTAAGCTACTTTGAGAGTGGTATGGTGGTATGATCCTAAGCTACTTTGAGCGTGGTATGGTGGTATGATCCTAAGCTACTTTGAGAGTGGTATGGTGGTATGATCCTAAGCTACTTTGAGCGTGGTCTGGTGGTATGATCCTAAGCTACTTGAGCGTGGTATGGTGGTATGATCCTAAGCTACTTTGAGCGTGGTATGGTGGTATGATCCTAAGCTACTTTGAGCGTGGTCTGGTGGTATGATCCTAAGCTACTTTGAGCGTGGTATGGTGGTATGATCCTAAGCTACTTTGAGCGTGGTATGGTGGTATGATCCTAAGCTACTTTGAGAGTGGTATGGTGGTATGATCCTAAGCTACTTTGAGCGTGGTATGGTGGTATGATCCTAAGCTACTTTGAGAGTGGTATGGTGGTATGGTCTGGGTGGTATGATCCTAAGCTACTTGAGCGTGGTCTGGTGGTATGATCTAAGCTACTTTGAGCGTGGGTATGGTGGTATGATCCTAAGCTACTTGAGAGTGCGTGTCTGGTGGTATGATCCTAAGCTACTTTGAGCGTGGTATGGTGGTATGATCCTAAGCTACTTTGAGCGTGGTCTGGTGGTATGACCCTAAGCTACTTTGGGCGTGGTCTGGTGGTATGATCCTAAGCTACTTTGAGCGTGGTCTGGTGGTATGATCCTAAGTTACTTTGAGCGTGGTCTGGTGGTATGATCCTAAGCTACTTTGAGCGTGGTATGGTGGTATGATCCTAAGCTACTTTGAGCGTGGTCTGGTGGTATGATCCTAAGCTACTTTGAGCGTGGTCTGGTGGTATGATCCTAAGGTACTTTGAGCGTGGTCTGGTGGTATGATCCTAAGCTACTTTGAGCGTGGTCTGGTGGTATGATCCTAAGCTACTTTGAGCGTGGTACGAGGGTATGATCCTAAGCTACTTTGAGCGTGGTATGGTGGTATGATCCTAAGCTACTTTGAGCGTGGTCTGGTGGTATGATCCTAAGCTACTTTGAGCGTGGTATGGTGGTATGATCCTAAGCTACTTTGAGCGTGGTATGGTGGTATGATCCTAAGCTACTTTGAGCGTGGTATGGTGGTATGATCCTAAGCTACTTTGAGCGTGGTACTGGTGGTATGATCCTAAGCTACTTTGAGCGTGGTCTGGTGGTATGATCCTAATCTACTTTGAGCGTGGTATGGTGGTATGATCCTAAGCTACTTTGAGCGTGGTATGGTGGTATGATCCTAAGCTACTTTGAGCGTGGTATGGTGGTATGATCCTAAGCTACTTTGAGCGTGGTATGGTGGTATGATCCTAAGCTACTTTGAGCGTGGTATGGTGGTATGATCCTAAGCTACTTTGAGCGTGGTATGGTGGTATGATCCTAAGCTACTTTGAGCGTGGTATGGTGGTATGATCCTAAGCTACTTTGAGCGTGGTATGGTGGTATGATCCTAAGCTACTTTGAGCGTGGTATGGTGGTATGATCCTAAGCTACTTTGAGCGTGGTACGGTGGTATGATCGTCGGTGCCAGGCGAGCCAGTTCCAGTATCTCAGAAACGCCTGGCCTCCTGGGCTTTTCACACACGACAGGGTCTAGGGTTTACCCAGAATGGTGCGACAAACAAAAAACATCCAGTCAGCGGCAGTCCTGTGGCCCGAAAAAGAGCTTGTTGATGAGAGGTCAAAAGGAGAATAGCAAGAATCATGCAAGCTAACAGGCAAATAATAGCGCAGTACAACAGTGGTGTGCAGAAAGTCATCTCGGAACACACAGCTCGTCTGTCCTTGTCACGTATGGGCTTTTGCAGCAGACGACCACACCGGCTTCCACTCCTATCAGCTAAAAACAAGAAGAAGCGGCTCCAGTAGGCACGGAATCACCAACACTGGACAGTTGAGGAGTGGAAAAACGTTGCCTAGTCCGACGAATCCTGGTTCCTGTTGCTTCATGCTGATGGCAGAGTGAGGATTTGGCATAAGCAGTATGAGTTCATGGCCCCATCCTGCCAGGTGTCAACGGTACAGGCTGGTGGCGGTGGTGTAATGGTGTGGGGAATGTTTTCCTGGCACACGTTAGGTCCCTTGATAAAAATTGAGCAACATTTCGATGCCCCGAAGAATTGAGGCTGTTCTGGAGGCAAAGGGGGGTCCGACCCAGTACTAGATGGGTGTATATTATGGAGTATAATCTTACTGTCTATCACTACTGTATAACTGCATTCATATAAAAAAAAGCATGCCATATAGGGTTATGGTTGTGTTTCTGAAGGATACAGACAGTATTAAGGGTAACACTTTACTTGACACCCAGTGTCATAACAGGGTCATAACCATGTTATAATATGTCATAACAGCTGACATAACTTGTCATAACCTGTCATCATATGGTCATAACTGTCATGACCCATATATTTACACCTGTTGTGACATATATTGCATTATTTTATGCATTATTTTATGGCTGATTATGACACCTACATAAGAGTGTCAAAACCAACATTTATTCAAATTATTTTTTTCCCTGCCAATAAGTTTATTTTCGTTTGAAAGTTTGTTTCTTGAATCCTTTGTTGTTGTTGTAATGAATTCTTTACAGTCATGTTTTTTTCATCATATTTTAAATAACTTGTAGAAAATATACTTTATGATCCAGTCATGAAGCATTATGAACATCCTTTGTCACTTTACTTGGACTAAGAAAATACACTATGACACTGTCAAGAAGCATTATGACCATCATAATCATATGAGCCAGATAGGCCTATCACGTACATGCCCTTATGTCAGTCATCAGTCAAAAAGAGGGTGTCTTGTCCTGCTCCTGAAATCTGCTCCTGCATTCATCCCAGTCATCAGCGACAGAGCATTGGGGTAGGTGCATGTCTGACATCAATGTGTGTGCAATTACAATGATAATTTAAAAAAAAAAAATATATATATATATATATATATATATATATATATAACATAAACATACTGTAGACAAGTAGGCTACGGTGTAATGGAATGTTTTACCTTTGGTGGTAGGGTTTGTGGGTTTTGACACTCTTATGTAGGTGTCATAACCAGCCATAAAATAACTAAATATATGTCACAACAGGTCTAAATATATGTGTCATGACAGTGTTATGACCATATTATAACAGGTTATGACAAGTTATGTCAGCTGTTATGAAATATTATGACATGGTGATAACGTGTTATGGTGCTGGGTGTCAAGTAAAGTGTTACCGTATTAAGTTCAGCAGTGGCATATAAGTTGCATTTAACTGGTCTAAAATACTCTGCAGTATTGACAGTGATAGCTTGCGGGGAAAGCAGTTTTACTACACACAACATAGAGTAACAATCTCTATAATGCATTCTCACCATCACGTCCTATTCATGTCCATGGGTATTATAATAATGTGGCTGAAATGCATTCCTATAGGACTCTGGAGACACCAAGAGATTGAGGACGGACGTCTTACTTCAAGGAGACACTACTTGCATCCCAAATACCACCCTACAACCTACCTGTAAACAGTGCACTACTTTTGACTAGAGGCCCATTGGGTTTTGGTAAAATATAGTGCACTAGAAAGGGCATTTGGAACACATCCACATCCAACTGTTAACCAAGCTAGGAAATTGAACTGCAATTTAAACCGTCCCCATGCTGCTTGTCCCCGAGGCTGGTTGAATTGCCATCAAATCCAGACATCGCATTCAACCATCCAATCTGTTGCAATCCTGAGACCACGCATAATATTGGATGGATCTCTATATACCAAATTGACTGAACTACATGCAGTCTGTCGCTGGTTGCAACCTATAACATCCATGCTTGTATCCATTATCTAATGAGAAAGAGTGTTATTCCCTCACGTATAGTTTATGATTACAACACATTGTGTCATGCATGTTAAAGAGACATTAGATTGACATGTGACTTGTCACCAGGGAAATGGAGACAATAGAACAGGCCTTCTTTACAAAATCACTTACAACATATGGCATATACTGTATACCCATCAAAACGCAGCATTTGTTAACCAAAAGCAAACCTAGCATACGAGAAAGTAAAGTATATGCATACAACTTCAGCATTCGTTTCACAAAAACAAACAGAATGATAATTGAGTATACAGAGCCAGATGCTGCAGCGCGACAACTGTTGATAACAGACAAAACATTACTGCAGGCAGACAGGCAGCCCTTCCATGTCTGTGTCCCAACTGGTAGCCTATCCTCTTTACAGTGCACTACTTTAGACCAGGACTTGTAGGGCTCTGGTCAACAGATGTAGGGAATAGGGTACTATTTGGGACGCGAACCTCTGTCTTTACACTAGGGCACAGTGACTTGTGGCCCTGAACCTGAGCATATGTGCTAAAGCTAAGACAGTGTAATTAACAGCAAGACGTCGAGGGACCCACGCCGTGGTAAATCTACACCCTGTTACTGCAGTGCAGGTTCTGTCCGTAATCAGAATGTGAAGGGAAGGAGGACGGCTCATAGTAATGGCTGGACTGGAATCAACGGAACGGTGACAAACGGATGGAAACCATTGTGTTTGATGTGTTTGGAAGTGTTTCATTAATTCCATTCCAGTCATTACTATGAACAGTCCTCTGGTTTAAAGTGAGACCAGCCTTCCTCTGATTGAGATAGACTTCATCCATCACACAGGGGAGGGAGAGGGTGTTAATAGGAAATGACATGACATGGTTCTGTTGCTGTGGCAACATGACATTAAACCAATCAGATGCATCTCAATCTGAGAGAAGAGGGGGCAGCGTGACTTTAGTCTGATTGGAGGCGGTGATTTAACTGAACTCATAATACATAGACTGTGTCAAAACATGCATTTCATAACAGTGGATAATGTTGTACCACTTCACTTACAGCCGACAGGTATCAGGCTTTGTAACTTGTTATAAGCATCTATGAGTCTTTACAATGGATTATTCAAATGAGTCCTTGGAGCAAAAGTATATATATATATATATAAAATAATCAAAGTTTCTACATGTACATATTAAATACAGATATGTATATATTGATATGTATTATACATACACATGACTACAGGATGAATAGATTCACTGACCTGCAGGTGAAATTGGACCCTTCGCCATCGAGACAAGTCCCTCCATTTAAACACAGGGAGACATTGGTGGGGGTTTCTAGACAGACGTCTATGTCAATGTCACAGTTCTTTCCACTGTATCCATCCAGACAGAAACATGCATATTTATCAACCAGGTCCACACAGGACCCACCATTCAGACACGGACTGGAAGAACACTCCTGTAGATGGGAAAATAGCATCAAGTAAAACACGAGACCGGGGCCTGTATTTATAAAGTGTCTCAGAGTAGGAGTGCTGATGTAGGATAAGATCACGTTTACCTTTTAGATCATATTATTGATATTACATGGGCAGGGGGGCCTGATCCTAGATTAGCACACCTACTCTACACGAATATGGTAACTATAAATATCCACCAACTGCAAGGTGGTACTAACACAGATATATAGATAAACAATATCGTAAGAGAATGACTTGAATATGAATACATAGGCCTGCATATGAAAACATGACTGTTAAAATCCGTAATTGACTATGTTGGATGACGAGTTAAAAGAGTATGTGCAGAATTCTAGATTAGAATGGTGTCTTTAAGTGGAGACAATAAGAGCCTCTGATTGTGCATTCCAGAGCGGAACCTCAGGGAGACATTCCGGCTGCATTAGCATTCTATTCTATCAGCCCAGTGTTCTCTCTCTAGAGGCCTACTGAAGCTGGGCTGGGTATTAAAATCAATTAGGGATTAGGGTGAGGCGATTCCTTTTAATCAGGTATTTATACGATGCTTACATGATCATGTAGCTCAATTGACTGATGCTGTAGGAGAATCGATATGATTGTGGATGGGAAAGAGGAGAGACGGTACACTGGAGCAGCTCTGGTCTGATTAGAATGGTGACTAATCATCTTGATCTTCCTGGTTCGCATGTTTCGGAATGTTGTATAATAAGGAGATGCGATGCACAGTCACTTTTCCAAAATATAAAACTTGCGTCCATAGTGAAATTACACTATTTTATGTCACCATAGTGAAATATAAGTCATATGTCACTGTAAATGACAAATAACTCATGTCAGTTTGGGTGACATATAACTACAATGTTTAGCGAAATGACACTATTTTAACATATTCTAACGAGACCATGTTATGTAATGATGAGTCCCATGTAGGATGGTCTTACCAGATACCCAACTATCATAAAGCTCAACTCACATCAGTGTTAGTTTCACATCTGGCACCAGTCCATCCCCATTCACACTGGCAGTGATACACATCCACTCCATCAATACACCTGGGAAGATGGAGAGAAACTTTCTAAATGTATTAAAAAGCAGAGGAACAAAACAGACCTATATAGCATTACCAAGCCCCAGTTCCCACTCCGGTGTAGGTCTCTAGTATATTAAAAGACAAAACACTGAGAGAAGGCAAATATCTGAAATCACTATTTCATGGGAATTTAAACTGAGGTAATAAAGGTCAAACGGACATGCAGATACGACGTGTGTACAGTACACAAGCACTATTTCCCATTACCTGCCATTACACACCATTACACACCATTACACACCATTACACACCATTACACACCATTTATATCCTCCATTTCTGCAACCATTTCCCCCCCTTTAAAAAAACAACACTTTATCTTTATAAAGAACACACATCTCCTACCCTGGATCTATGTTTTATTTTCAGCAGGAGAAGCACTAACAGTTCTACTGATAATGAAAGCTTCCGTTGTGTACCTCCCGTGAAGACAGGGGCCTGACATGCATTCATCAATGTTGGTCTCGCAGTGGAAACCCATGAAGCCTGTAGCACATAAGCACTGGTATCGATTGGCACCATCCACGCACCTCCCGCTGTTTTGGCATGGGTTCGACACACACTCGTCAATGCTCAGTTCACACCACGTCCCTGGGAATAAATGACATATATTAACATACAGTGGGGGAAAAAGTATTTAGTCAGCCACCAATTGTGCAAGTTCTCCCACTTAAAAAGATGAGAGAGGCCTGTAATTTTCATCATAGGTACACGTCAACTATGACAGACAAAATGAGAAAAAAAATTCCAGAAAATCACATTGTAGGATTTTTTATTAATTTATTTGCAAATTATGGTGGAAAATAAGTATTTGGTCACCTACAAACAAGCAAGATTTCTGGCTCTCACAGACCTGTAACTTCTTCTTTAAGAGGCTCCTCTGTCCTCCACTCGTTACCTGTATTAATGGCACCTGTTTGAACTTGTTATCAGTATAAAAGACACCTGTCCACAACCTCAAACAGTCACACTCCAAACTCCACTATGGCCAAGACCAAAGAGCTGTCAAAGGACACCAGAAACAAAATTGTTGACCTGCACCAGGCTGGGAAGACTGAATCTGCAATAGGTAAGCAGCTTGGTTTGAAGGAATCAACTGTGGGAGCAATTATTAGGAAATGGAAGACATACAAGACCACTGATAATCTCCCTCGATCTGGGGGTCCACGCAAGATCTCACCCCGTGGGGTCAAAATGATCACAAGAACGGTGAGCAAAAATCCCAGAACCACACGGGGGGACCTAGTGAATGACCTGCAGAGAGCTGGGACCAAAGTAACAAAGCCTACCATCAGTAACAAACTACGGCGTCAGGGACTCAAATCCTGCAGTGCCAGATGTGTACCCCTGCTTAAGCCAGTACATGTCCAGGCCCGTCTGAAGTTTGCTAGAGTGCATTTGGATGATCCAGAAGAGGATTGGGAGAATGTAATATGGTCAGATGAAACCAAAATATAACTTTTTGGTAAAAACTCAACTTGTTGTGTTTGGAGGACAAAGAATGCTGAGTTGCATCCAAAGAACCTACTGTGAAGCATGGGGGTGGAAACATCATGCTTTGGGGCTGTTTTTCTGCAAAGGGACCAGGACGACTGATCCGTGTAAAGGAAAGAACGAATGGGGCCATGTATCGTGAGATTTTGAGTGAAAAACTCCTTCCATCAGCAAGGGCATTGAAGATGAAACGTGGCTGGGTCTTTCAGCATGACAATGATCCCAAACACACCGCCCGGGCAACGAAGGAGTGGCTTCGTAAGAAGCATTTCAAGGTCCTGGAGTGGCCTAGCCAGTCTCCAGATCTCAACCCCATAGAAAATCTTTGGAGGGAGTTGAAAGTCCGTGTTGCCCAGCGACAGCCCCAAAACATCACTGCTCTAGAGGAGATCTGCATGGAGGAATGGGCCAAAATACCAGCAACAGTGTGTGAAAACCTTGTGAAGACTTACAGAAAACGTTTGACCTGTGTCATTGCCAACAAAGGGTATACAACAAACTATTGAGAAACTTTTGTTATTGACCAAATACTTATTTTCCACCATAATTTGCAAATAAATTCATAAAAAATCCTACAATGTGATTTTCTGGATTTTTTTTTCTCATTTTGTCTGTCATAGTTGACGTGTACCTATGATGATAATTACAGGCCTCTCTCATCTTTTTAAGTGGGAGAACTTGCACAATTGGTGGCTGACTAAATACTTTTTTTCCCCACTGTAGATAACACATTATATCATACAGCACATAGAATATGAACATTTAACAACACATTGTGTTTACTTTTAGTTTTCATTCATGGAAAGAGGTGAAACGGCTGGTTAAATAATTGATTGAGTTGAGATACGCCTCAATACTGTACATTGAATCAATACAGGGTGAATACTCTCTCGCTTCAATGACTGACATCGTATCAGAAATAGTAGAGGTTTTTCAACATTGGCAATAGGACAGAGCATTGCATGTTTGCATTGTGTTGCATTGCATTGCATACATTACATGATGTACGTTATGTCTGTTGCATCAGCATATACATTGGATAGAATGTGCAATATCTAATCCTGTGTTACATATTGTTCTTCACCTCACAGTAAAGGTGGCACCAGTCACTGTAACCACAGATCTATAGGCAGCTTATCTAATTGTGAAAACACATTATCATTGTTGGGTCTTATACAGTTGTTGTCACGTGGAAATCACATGAACAACTGCACACAGCCATTCAGTACCACATCTGGGTTCAAATACTATTTGAAATAATATTAAATACATTATCTGTGTATTATTATTTGTTATTACCAATTTTACTTTTCTATAATTTCTCTATTTTCTTTCTTTCTGCATTGTTGGGAAGGGCCCTTAAGGAAGCATTTCACTGTTAGTCTACACCTGTTGTTTAGGAAGTATGTATGTGACAAAAACAATTTGATTTGATTTGGTTGAGCTTGCCTGGCGCAACGAAACTAATATCATAACCGCAAACCTGCAAACCCTGCCCATCTAGCACTCCCAAACCCCACCCATCTAGCACTCCCAAACCCCACCCATCTAGCACTCCCAAACCCCGCCCATCTGGCACTCCCAAACCCCGCCCATCTGGCACTCCCAAACCCCGCCCATCTGGCACTCCCAAACCCCGCCCATCTGGCACTCCCAAACCCCGCCCATCTGGCACTCCCAAACCCCGCCCATCTGGCACTCCCAAACCCCACCCATCTGGCACTCCCAAACCCCGCCCATCTGGCACTCCCAAACCCCGCCCATCTGTCACTCCCAAACCCCGCCCATCTGGCACTCCCAAACCCCGCCCATCTGGCACTCCCAAACCCCGCCCATCTGGCACTCCTGGCAGGTTAGAGCAAACACTATAAGTATCTGAAAGATTTCAAGAAGTATTTGAACCCAGGTCTGTCCAGTACATAAGGAAAACATATAGCCGTAGCCATGCTGTACTGTAGCAAGAGGTGGAGGATATTGATCACCATTCAACAATGTGCTGCTGACTGAGGAATCAATACATTTTTTTACATTTTTAGTCATTTAGCAGACGCTCTTATCCAGAGCGACTTACAGGAGCAATTAGGGTTAAGTGCCTTGCTCAAGGGCACATCGACAGATTTTTCACCTAGTCGGCTCGGGGATTAGAACCAGCGACCTTTCAGTTACTGGCACAACGCTCTTACCCACTAAGCTACCTACTGTAGCATTGTGCTGATTTCAACTATAGCATTACTCAGGGAGCATTCTTCTAAATGATGGGTGAATAAGGGTATGTTGACTCATATAACAATGGTTTCTATAGATGGATTATCAACCGATGTCATATCAAGGGGGATCCCTGGCCTGTAGTAAGGGGGATCCCTGGCCTGTAGTAAGGGGGATCCCTGGCCTGTAGTAAGGGGGATCCCTGGCCTGTAGTAAGGGGGATCCCTGGCCTGTAGTAAGGGGGATCCCTGGCCTGTAGTAAGGGGGATCCCTGGCCTGTAGTAAGGGGGATCCCTGGCCTGTAGTAAGGGGGATCCCTGGCCTGTAGTAAGTGAGTCTACAACAATGTTGAGGTCATTTCAAAGTAGAATCGTGTTGTGAAGAAAAGTATAATTGATCTCAGTTCACCTTTGTATTTTAAATATGCACTACCTGTCTTTGGAAAGGGTATGAACCACAATATAATTTATTTTAATTGAACAATTAATCCATCACATTTTTGTTCAAATTTGAATTTGAATTTGACTAATAACCGAACATAATAACTAACAATTTCAGTTAGCTAAAATACCCTAAATAAAACCACACAACATTCTGACATATTGGCCATTCGGTTGCTCCAAAGCTGTAACTATGCAAACAAATAATTATGTTCTTCACAGGCTTTAAATGTCCTAATAAAACGCCACAACACAGCAGTGGAAGCCAGCATATCACCCTTATTGCATATAAATGTTATTTATACTTGACAAAACAAACAATTCTCACACTTTATGGGCTGCAATTCACAACTGGGTCAAGATGAAGGTGAAATGTGTTGACTACTAGGCTAATCTAGGACCTGAATGACTCACTAGGCTAATCTAGGACCTGAATAATTTCAGGACTATAGGAATATATCCTGGACTGCGTCCCAAATGGCACCCTATTCTCTATATAGGCCCAATAAGACTCTGGTCAAAAGTAGTGTACTATATACAGTACCTTCAGAAAATATTTACATCTCTGGATTTACTCCACAGTTTGTTGTGTTACAGCCTCAATTCAGAATGGAAAGTATTCACACTCCTAAGTCAATACTTTGTAGAAGCACCTTTGGCAGCAATTACAACTGAGCAATTACAACTGAGTGTATTTCTAGGTAAGTCTCTAAGAGATTTCCACACCTGGATTGTGCAACATTTGCCCATTATTCTTTCCAAAATTCTTCAGGCTCTGTCAAATTCGTTGATCATTGCCAGACACCCATTTTCAGGTCTTGCCATGGATTTTCAAGCAGATTTAAGTCAAAACTGTAACTCGGCCTCTCAAGAACATTCACTGTCTTCTTGGTAAGCAACTCCAGTGTAGATTTGGCCTTGTGTTTTAGATTTTTGTCCTACTGAAAGGTGAATTTATCTCCCAGTGTCTGGTGGATAGCAGACTGAAACAGGTTTTCCTCTAGGGTTTTGCCTGTGCTTAGCTCCATTCAGTTAATTTTTTATCCTGAACAACTCCCCAGTCCTTAACGATTACAAGCATACCTATAACTGGATGGAGCCACCATTATGCTTGAAAATATGGAGAGCGATACACAGTAATGTGTTGTATTGGATTTGACCCAAACATAACTTTGTATTCAGTGAATTGCTTTGCCATATTTTTTATAGGATGCAAGTTTTGGATATGTATTATTATTTTTTTTATCTTTACAGGCTTCCTTCTTTCCACTCTGTCAATTAGGTTAGTATTGTGGAGTAACTACAATGTTGTTGATTCATCTACAGTTTCTCCTATCAAAGCCATTAAACTCTAACTATCCAGGCTCTGTCGCAGCCGGCCGC